ACTCTCTCTCTCTCTCTCTCTCTCTCTCTCTTCTGTGAATGTAGTATGGAATTGCAGCAGCACCATTTTTTAGTGTAAACCATTTTGAATTGCATTGCAAGAAGTAGTTTGATTATGATTTTGATTTTCCTCCTTGTGTGGTGCAGAAGCAAGAAAACAATGTAATGAAAGACTCTTCAGTTTGCTACTTATATGATTTCTCTCCCTCCTCTGCTCTGTTCTTCTCTGCATGTAGTATGATTATGAATAGGAGCAATTTTTGTATGCAACACAACTTGTTAATTTTATTTTTTATATTTTCACTTTCATAGGGTAGTCCAACATAAAAAAAAATGGAACAAGCTAATTTGTAGTGTAGTTCGAAACATTTGATTGCCCAACACTTCAATTCCGCTACTGTGTATAGTGCGGTATGATGTATAAAACTTCCGGCCACTCTATACTTAGCATATTTTGCTCTTTTTTAGGTCCAATATTTCAAACATCATATTGATTCATACTTGGAGGAAATTTTTGCTGTTTTACTGATAAACATCAGACCGTCCTCTTTTCTGAGTAAGTTTCAGAAGAGACAGCAGTAAGATGTTTGATACATTCAACATCAGATCACACTCAGATACTCTTTCTCTTAATATCATGTGGTTCGATTTTTTAAACCCAAGGGGCAAAATTAGTGCTTCGATACCCCAATTCAACCTGCGCTCTCCTGCCACTTTTCTCCCATCATCTCTCGCTCGTTTTCTCTCACATGCCAAATCTCTCCAAGCACGTGCTCTCTTTCTCTCTTTCCACCAACTGCTCTCTCTCTCTCCACCAACTGTGCTCTCTCTCTCCAAATAGATCATCTATCTAGAAGGTTAGAGTTTGAGAGACTTTTGCTAATTTTTGGATTTTCTCTAAACATTTGGTGTGGGTTTACTGCTCATGATCAATCAAAACAAATATACATTTTGTTTCCTTTCTTTACATGAGGAGTTTTTGTTTCTTCTTAAACATGTTATTATGTTCTAGTATATTGTTTTTTTACAAAAAGTGGATCACCACCTCAGTGCTGATTTGACCCACTCAATCTGCTTCTTTTATTTTGAATGCTATAGGTAGGCAATGTGATTTCAGTCCACTGAAAATAATGATTTGGTAGTCTCCTTATCGTCATTTTCTCAAGGTCAAGTTGGGGTGGCAATTGGGACCATCGACTCGAGACCCATGGACAGACCCGACCCTGGTCTGGTATGAATCTAGGGGTTGGACCCAACAGATCGCGTCCGGGTCCAATAGCCTGAGCTTAAATCGAATCCAGGTTGGGTCTGGGTCCAGGTACCCCTGACCCATACCCAATTTGGACTTATTGATAAATAAATTAAATATTATTTTTATACTTATATATTATTTAAATATTAATTAAAGAATTGTAGACAAACTAAATGTTATAATTTGAATATTGAACAAGATTTTTATGCTTCTTCTACTACATAAAAGTTATATACTTCCCTCTATACAACCGTACATTCTAAATGGACAGTTGAGATGACCCCTTCACAATGTTACACCTTTATACTATTTTATTTGTAATTTTACTTCGACAAAACATTTTGACACTCAAGTTTGGACGTCCACTTCTCTTTACAATTAGCACCTTTAGAAAATATAAAAGAATTATTCTCAATAAATAAAATGACCAAATTGCCCCTGAAAGTTTCAGTAGTATTTTTGGTTATTTATTTTATCAAAAATATTGTGTTAATATTTTGTTTAGGTGTGCTGTATTGAGATGTTTTCAAACATCGAACCACACGATAATAAAAAGGAAAAACACTCTATGATAGTGGTATAGAGTGGTCCCATGTTTCATACAATAGATCGCATCATAGACATCAATGAAATGAAAATATAAGACGGCCCTATAAATGGGATAAAAATCACAAAAATAAAAAAATAAAAATACCAAGCAATCCAATGTTCCGGGAACAAAGTTAGAAACAAAATATAAAAATTCAGGGGGTAAGACCTCACTGGAGAAAACCTCAACTTTTGGACCAAGAGAAAATTTGCCTAAATTGACCCTGCCCTTATGTAATGGTTAGAGAGAGAGAGAGAGAGAGAATATAGCAGACTTAAAGGCCTTGCATCGCAGTGTTTGCATTGGAATGGTAAAACAAGACGGAGTATTCAATTCAGCTGCTGCTTCTGCTAATAAAATTGTGTTACACACAAAAATTGCTACTATTCTTAATCATACTACATGGAATGCAGAGAAGAACAGAGCAGAGGAGGGAGAGAAATCAAGTACGGTAGCAAACTGAAGAGACTTTCATTACATTGCTTTCTTGCTTCTACACAACACAGGAGGAAAATCAAAATCATAACAATCAAACTACTTCAGGCAATGCAATTCAAAATGGTTTACACTAAAAAATGGTGCTCCTGCAATTCCATACTACATTCACAGAAGACAGATAGAGGGAGAGAGAGAGGGTTCTTGCTTCTTCATACAAGGCAAAGGCAAATGGATGAAAGAAAAGAATGGCCATATTTCGTACTACTGACACAGGAGGGTGGTGGTCTTTATGAATTGAAGGATATGGGTTTAAGAATGAAAAGATTTCCTTATTCACATCAAACAAAGAGTCACAGTAACTGTCTTGCACATAGTAGAAAAAGCTAGGATCAAAATGGGGAATCGAAATAGGGTGGTTCTTAAGGCTCGGAGTTGGCACCTTCCACGTTTGCTTGGTCATTTTTGTTGGGTTGATGTGGCCTTTAAAGGCCTTATGAGTGCTTGTAAAATGAAATGATATAGTGGAACATGAATTCAATGGGAGTGTGGTCCCTCGTGAAGCAAACGATGGTTTGCTGATACCGATCTGTGCTCAACGATCAAGGCCAATCGATTTGTAAAAACCCATGTTACCTAGGCATGAAGAACAAACCGATGAGGGTTTATGGGTTAGCACTTGATAAGGTCGGAGAACATGCCCGAATGAGTGAGCCAAGGGACTGTGTGACCCATGTGTGTGATGGTGGCCTACTGAGGCGGGGGCCAAAACCTCATCCATGTTCCATCACACGACATGTATATTGACAGATCGTTCGGGAAAATCAGATATCCACCTTTGGGTGAAGCGTATGCATGTGTGAGAGATACCCCTATACGCCATAGAGTTGTGGTCGCATCATGTCGTGGTGACCTTGACTCGTCTCTAGAGGAGGACCTGTAATCCACAGACAGGGATTGTGACCCCTTGATTAATTGACCTGACTTTGATGACCCGCTAATGAGTCCCTACTTGGACTGTGGGTCATGGGAAACACTTGGTCAGTGCGATAAAGCTAGTGTGGCATGTAGTCTACAGTTGAAGGTGGAGTATCCCGTTATTACATATTAGATTCCTAAAACCATATAGATTATTTTTCCATCATATTAATTTAATTACGTTCATTTTATTATTGAAATGATTTTAGTTTTATTAATTGAATTTTATGAATCTCTCAATATTTTATTTGTGATTTTTGGACTTATAAAAATACAGTTATTATTTTTACAAAGTAATAAAAATTCAAATATATATTTTAAATTTTTTATTCAATTTT